TCCGCATAAAAAATATTGTTTGTCATGTTTAAAAGAACGAGTCGTTAACAAAACGTTCATAGGGACAGAGCGAAGTTCTTGAATTCTTTGAAATCGTTTTCATATAATGATATCAGGCTATTTTTTTCAAACATTCATGAGATTATTTAATGAATGAAAAACACTTATCTTTCAAAGAAATGACGTTTACTCAATTTTCAAGCGAGAATATTCAACCAGAAATATTTCACCATTCACTGAGTATACTTATGATATCACATCACTTACATTTCACCGGAGGTCATTAAATTCTTTCTTCATCTAGTTACTAATAAGTGGATATTACTTACAATATATTTAATTGCCAATCAACCAGACGTTTGTATTGCAAGATCAATTCCTGTAAACTCTTTAACAAGGACAATATCAATATTACTTACAGAATTTAGCGAGTGTTTTGAAAGACCACTAGTTTAAACGAATCAACGACGAGAAACTGGGCCTTTTTTTAGTCATTATAGTTGTTATAAATAAAAAAAAATAGTTAAGCTTTTTTGCTGTAGTTGTCTAATTTTGGCTAATAGAAGTAACAGGTTGTTAGGGAACTACTTCCTAACAACCTCATACTTTATTTGAATTGGTGTCAATCAGCACTTTTTCTTTTATTTTATGGATGGACCTAGTGTCTCATTAGGCTTTTAATTCGTTTAGTTTGATTTAAGGTGGTAGTTACCTTTAATTAGTTTAGATTTCATTTCTTTCGAAAAGTCTCAGTACTCTCTCTCATTTCTTATTATTGGAACCTTTTAGTCACTGTGCTGGTCTGTTCTTTTGATACAGGAACTACGTAATGTTCCCTATTCTGATAAAGAATAGAGAATTACTTACTTTTTACTAGAAGGGTACCTGCTTACTACTCACAATAATCAACCAACCAATGAGATCAAAAAAATAGTAATTTATGGAATAAGTATTTGGAGTTCTTGACTATCGTGTTATGTACCTATATTAAAATTAGGTATAATATGGTAAATATAAATTTAATTAATTTTTTAATAAAAGTCAATTTTATTTCATATAATTTTTGTTAATCCTTCGGATTATATTTAGTTGTCATATCTAACTTTTTCTAAACAAAATGTTCATAAAACAATTTTTATATGTTAATAAGTTAATAAAAAGTTAATAAGTTAATATTTTTAGATTTTTAAGTTAATAAAAAGAAACACATGTTGGTCAAAAATAGTTGTTATACAAATCGGTATTTGTGTAACTTGCACTCCACGCACATATTCAAATGCCATCAAGAGAGCAAAATAAAGGCATTTAAGTGCAATCGCAGTGTTTCTTAAACGCTGAATATATGAACATTTCTAAAGGAACCGAAACCAACAAAAAGCTGTACAACGTTTTACACTTAACACATCGGTTGTGAGTCTCAAACAATAAATAAAAATATGCTTTGATGGGCAACTGACTATGCATTGTGGAATAATGTATATGCTCGTACAAAACCAAGATACGCCCCTGACGCCCTCTTTAGCCAGTGACACTGTAAATTGGCATTTAATATTGTAGTTTACCCAGTAAAAATCGAAAATAAATTTCATGCAAAATGGCAGCAGCACTAATGGCGAGTATTGCCCACACAAAGTGCAGCACATTGCTACTATACCCCGCCATATCGTACCCTACCGTACCATACTATACCGACCACTGTAGTGCATCTACTAGTGGTAGTGGACTATGTGTAACACTGCCAGTGTATCGTAATTGCATTAAAACCTCTTCCATTAGAGTGTTGAGTTCAATTATTTCAGTGACAACCATACTTACTGACCTCGCCTGGTTATTTTGCACAAGCTTGCTGAGTTTACGGGGTTTACTGAGTTTACTGAGTTTGCTGAGTTGTAAAATATTACGAATTTTAAATAATTTATAAAAGAAAAAAATTAATAAATAAAAATCACAACTTCATACAATTACGCGTACATATCCATGCGAACATCTGTGCAGAGTGTCCAGTGTCCAATGTCCAGTGTCCAGTGTCCAGTGTCCTTCTGTGCGCTCGTAAGTACGCAAACTGTTAATTTCTGCATTTCAGCATTTCAACATTGCTGTAACGAGCGCTTACTAACAGATTTAATTTTATTTATACATTGCTCGGATGCACCAAGAGCACAAACTCAATTGCACTTACTGTCAGTCACTTTTGCATACTCCTGTTTTATTAAATCTATTAAGTGGCTTTGGGTTAAACTTTTAATCATTTTGAGAACGATTGCGAAGTCTTCTGCACCGAAGCGACGCAGCTAAATTGTTTCAGGATAAAATTAAATAAATAATTGATAACAGAAATCCACCATTGCAGCAAACAAAAATTAACGGAAATCGTGCTCAAAGGAAATAATTTTAGCGAATTTGACTGAAATCTTCCTTAATTTGATTTAGCTGGATGAAATCAGTGCAGGTTGCAGGTTTTACTGCCAATGCTATTAAACTGCCAAAAGGATATTAAAAATATTGCGCGCGTAATGCGAGGCAACTGAATGGATTCCAATTATGCAGCTTTGTACTGTAATTGACTCTCGCTTGATGTTTAATTAATTAAGTTATAAAACTCACTGGGATTTACTAACGTAACATAAAAATCTCTAATGTCTTATCGAATCACTTAAATGTCAATTCATTTATTTATGTTTTATGTGCATTTGTAACAGAAACACGTTTTCAATATCACATTATTTAAGTTTAACTCAATTACATTGCAATTCTAATAAAATTTTATTTCTCCTTTTCTCCTGTCTGAAATTACCTCATTAAAACGATATAAAAAGCATTTCGCAGGTAACATATATAGAAAAAAATCTCCGGAATGCCAATGACAATGAACGAATTAAAATATAAAAATAGACCACGAAACGGTCCAAATTACCTTAATTAGAATATATTGAGCAATAAAATGAGTTTTATAGCTACTCAATCCTATCGTGTTCAACTGAATTACAATAGTCCTTGGGGCCATAATAATGAGTATACCTTCAGTGACAAGCAAGATATCACGCTATGGTGTCCACATCATCAATTTCAACTTTATGCCATACCAGACTTAGTGAATACATTTGGCGGAAACTACAGACCGGCAACACTATCGACTTCCTATTTCCGTTTGACATTTTTCCTGGCGCTTCCGTTGAGCACCACCTGTGGTGCAAATTTATCAACAGTCAAACTTACTTATATTGTGTTTGGTAGCAAATTCTTTTATTCACGTTTGGTTTCTATATACCTGCTTTCTATTGTTTTATTTTCTTTGAAATTTCTTCGAAATAGCAGCAGTCAAGTAAAGGATTTTTATAATTTATAAAGAGATTTGTTTAACTATTCACTCCACTTAAATGTATTCCTGTACATATGGACATTCCTAGTACACCTCTATTGTCTTTAAGTACCTTCTACGCATTTTAGTAAAAATTCAAATGGATTCAAGACATTTGTAAATTTTCCTACAGAATTTTGAGTTCGTCTTACTATGCTACGTCCACTTTGTTTGTTTCGGGACGAAAACATAATACAATCTTCCTCTTTTCACTTTTACGCAGTCAGTTTTGGTCTTTTCATTCGAAAGGGTGTCATTTGCCGGATTTTTAGATTGTTTTTGTGTGCCTAATGATAATTCATTGTGTTTTATTCCCCAGGGGGTTTAAATGGTACAAATCTATACACACAGAGGAAAACAATTTGTTTTTAGTATTCGTCCTTTCGCAATATACTCGTATCATCAAAATAAAAATTCCAAGCAATTAAGTAGTTTATTTGTAAGATGCGTGCTGGGATTTACTTCGCTGTGCAGATTTCGTTTAATTTGTACATTAAGTATTATTTGTATATTCCGCGTTTAAGCTTTACTTTAAGTATTTATTAACGGAAAAAATATCTTAATAAAAATCTAAGCTTAATAATGCTAATGAGTTAAGAGTTTAAGCTGTTGATTCATTAACCTACACAAAAATAGTCAAAATTCTTCAAGAAAAAACAGTAAATTTCATACTTATAAACCCAAAGACGAAAAATGGCATAGGGCAATGCTAAGAAATATGAATCCGTCTGCAGATATTGACGACATTAAACATGAGTTACTTAAGCTGGGTCACCAAGCACAACATATCTAAAATTTTAAACACGTTACTACAGGTAACAACAGTTTTAAAAAGAAATTTAAACAACAAAGAAATATATAATATTACAAATATCCTTCACACAAAAATTATTTTTGAACCTCCTCATGCTAAGAGAATCATATCCCAATGCACCAATTGCCAAAAATATAGTCACACGCGGAGTTACTGCACAAGAGATCCAGTCTGCATTATATGTGCAAGCAAACACAGAGCTATCAACTGTCCTCTGCTAGAAGAAAATGGCATAAAATGTGCCTTTGCAGACGAAATCATCCTGCAAGCTATAAGGGCTGCGAAATTCACAAAGCACTATTATCTCAAATATATCAAAACTCTATCACACTCACGATAAATAAAAAAATGAAATACGCTGAGGATGCCAGTATCTCTAACTAGAGTTACCTTCCAAAAACCGATAATACTAAATTAAATATAACAAATTTCGAAATAAATGAAAAAGAAATGGTTAAACATCTTTAAAAACAAATAAGTAACAAGACGAATGTCAACACTGAGCTCTAACCAAAAACCAATACTGCCCCATGATTTACGATGAACTCAAAATAATCGAATGGAATGCTAATAGTCTACACCAACACTCTTTTGAATTAAGACAATTTTTAAATGATAACGAAATTAATGTAGTACTCATTTCAGAAATACATTTCTCCAATAAACACTTCCTGAGACTTCAAGGATATACTATTTACATTACCAACCACCCCGATGGAACTGATCATGACAGCTCAGCAATTATTATGAAAAGTAAAATTATGTGTGGGCGGAACTCAAATATTATCAAACTGATCAAATTCAGACAACAATAATAGAAATCAATGATAATGCTGGCCGTCTAACCATTTGCGCTCTATACTGTCCACCAAAACATCAAATAAAAGTTGATCAATATGATCACTTTATCAAGACTTTGGGTCAAATATTTATAGCTGCTTGCGATTTCAATTCTAAGTACTTAAACACGGGCTCTTCAATAACTAATTCGAAAGGAAAAGGGCTTTTAGAATCAATAAAAGTCAATAACTACCAACATACGTATAAGTACTATTAGCCCATCAAACTAGCCTACTGATGCAAAAAAAATACAGGATCTTATTGATTTGTGTATAACCAAAAACATTAATTTAAGATATATAGTTATAAAATCTATTTTAGAACTCAGTTCAGGTCAATCGCCAATTATAATCAACTTCTCGTCTAATATTAAATATCATAAGCCAAGCCCATACATTGATTTGGTACTTAGAGTAAAGCTACCATTAAAAACCCATAGCGACATTAATAGCGCAATCGTATATCTTAACGATTCAAAGGTTTATAGCCAGAAGAAGAGTAATACCCTGCCACTTATTTATAAGCTCCTAAAAAGAAGCAGAAGCTCTGTAAAAAAGACAAACAACTAAATCTGACAAGTTGCAAAAACGGTTAAAAAAGTCTAAGAGAATCTGCAAGCAGTACAATAACAAGCTACTCGTATCTCGTTGAACTAACAACTAAGTCGGAAACCAATTATTTGTTATGAAAAGCTACGTAAAGTCATTCATCAACCTCCACTAAGAAAAGAAAATGAAACATGGGTTAGATCCGTCAATGAAAAGGCGAATCTTCTGGACAAAAATTTTGATAAAATTTACACTAACACAACCAGCTACCACCAATAGCAAACAAATAGTTTTCATCAAATATCAACCACACGATACCCATTCTAACTATAATAGAACTAATGAAACTAATCAAAAACGATAAAACCAATGGAAAAGCGGCAGGCTTTGATTTGGTAACAACTAAAATTCTCAAGGAGCTACTAATAAATGCTATTAAATTTATTAAAGATACTTTTTAACCCTGCAATAAGATTGAAATATTTTCCTAAGGTATGGAAAGTGGCCATTATAATCGCTAAACCTAAATCTGAGTAAAACGCTTAATCACCTACTTCTTATAAACCCATTAGTTTAATTATCTACAGAAAAAACCGCCAAAACATTGCGGCAGATGCACCGACTAATTGGTCAAAAACTTGGAGAATAAAATTAAGCAACAGCGAATTAATTCATGAGAATTTCACTAACCAAAAAGCAACAGATCCAAACTATCCGTATATAATAAAATTTTAAGATACAAAACAACTCTAAAGGCAATATTAGATCCTGTGCCACCTAAATATAAATATAATATAAATATAAATATAAATATAATCTAATCTATAATCTAAACATTGTCAACGTCTTATGATACTTTCGAAATCCCAACATTCATCGAGATCTTCACATCTTAACAATTGTTAAGAAAATCAAATGTCAAGCGAAAACTTATAACATTCATGGAATTAAAACAACTAGAGGCTTTTCAATACCAGAACTGTGGCACCGACGATTTTTTCGAATGGGTAAAGGATTTAAAAATTTTTTATTTTTAAAAAAAAAATATTTCACGACATTAAAGAAAAACTAGTTATTCCTTTTTTTTGTTGTTAAAATATTTGTAATAAAGCATACAATTATCTCTGAAATTTTTAAAAACCTTTCAAAAAATTACAGAAAAAGTGATTACACATTAACTTATTCAAACGAAATATAATATATATAGTCTATATAAATGGAAAACAAAACAATTACAATCAAATAACTTCCCTATTAAATGGACTAGACTAAACTAACTAGACTTAGTCTGGTCTTATAGTGGCCTGATTTCCTGCAGGGCATGTGCACATAAATTTTTATTTGACTCCATTAATATACCTTATGCATCTTATTAAAACTACAACTAAAAATAAATATAATAAAAACAAATATGTCTGGCGTGCACATTGCATACAAAGTACCTGAGATAACAGAGCAGCATTAAACACATACTACATAACATATTAAATATAATTTAAATCACACTTTTTATTTAAAGGAGCTGGCAATCTTCAAAGGATTTGCAGGTGATAACCAACTTGTGTATGCCGAACGAGCTCGAAATGCTTAAATTAACAACAGAAAGCTCAAAGCAAGAGCAAGAACAGGCAGCACAGCACATTAACATGTAATTTCAGCTGCCAAAAAGCAAAAACATATTTTGCAAAT